TTTTTTTTTAAGTTGCAAGTCATTGTTAACAATGACTTTAGTAAAAGGTGTTTTTCAACTGTTTCCAGTCTGGGGCTCTAAGATATTTGAGACTTGTTTCATCAACATATCAAAGTAGTATTTTTTAAAAAGATTTTATTTATTTGTTTTAGAGAGAGAGTGAGCAAGTTGGGGGAGGAGCAGAGAGAGAGGGAGAGAGAGAATCTCAACCAAACTCCCCATGAACACGGAGCACAGAGCCCAACCTGGGGCTCAATCTCATGACCCCAAAGTCATGACCTGAGCCAAAATCAAGAATCAGATGCTTGGGACGCCTGGGTGGCTTAGTCTGTTAAGCGTCTGCCTTCTGCTCAAGTCATGATCTCAGGGGTCCTGGGATCGAGTCCCACGGCAGGCTCCCTGCTCAGCGGGGAGCCTACTTCTCCCTCTCCCTCTGTTCTCTCTCTCTCTCTCTCAAATAAATAAAGAAAATCTTTTTTAAAAAAAAAGTCAGACACTTAGCCGACTGAGCCACCCAGGTGCCCCTAAATGTCTTTATCTCAATCTGCATGTGCATATCTGACCCCATACCTCTATTCTGAGAAATGAATGCCATCTGCAGGCTAATTCAGTGCTGCCCCCTGTGACTCTCCCAGGACCCTCTCAGGGTCTGCAGCAGGTACTGTTGGTCCAGAGGCTCTTTGCAGCGCTCATTCTCGGCACCTCCAGGCAAGCTTGCCCATGAGGGAGCCATCCTGCTCTATCTCTGCAGTGACCCAGGTCACTGTGTGAACTATACCCCCTTCCTGTGCTCCTTCCTCCTCTGTGCTCAGCTTCCCACAGGGCCTCCATCCCAGTGACAGGAGGATGTAGAGCATCAGTCAACAGGTGACAATGGCCACAGGCCCTGATCTGATCCATTACTTCTCATTCAGTCTAGACAAACTGGTGCGTTATCTCTAAAAGGAAATCACACCAAGAGGCAATGTCCTTGAATCTCCAGTTCCCAGAAGAATCTCAGGTCCCCATCCCAGAAAAACTTGGACACTAGGCAAGGAACCAAGATTTGGGTGCAAATTCCCTATTACTGGAACCAGTAGGTACTCAGGAAAGATTAATAAGTCAAGAAGCCAGTTTCTAGAACCAAGGGCATAAAGTCACAGCAAACCTGCACCAAGAATGACTTGATGCTGAGATGTGAGTTTCAACACCCAAGACTTCCTGTGTCTCCATAGGATATAGGAGTCCTGGTTCCAGAGTTGGCTGCCGGAGCTCGATCAGCCACTGGGGCATAGTGGAGATAAAAATTAAGCCAGTTATGACACCCCTCCCCATACTTCCGTCATGTATATTCAAGCCAAAGGCCCAAGAGCAATACACTGCATGTGTTGAGGTAGCCTATATCTCTGGTCTTTAATTACACTAGTGACTTTTTTTTTTTTAATCCTGAATATAATATACAGGATTTCGCTGAAGAAGGCTTTAGAATCAAGCAGATATGTGCTTGAATTCTGTCTCTGCCATTTATGGGCCATTTACTATTGGGTCAGTCTTTCTCATTTCCTGCTTTGGTTTCTGTCAAAGAGAGATTTCAAGACAGTCCTAGTAACATTATTATGAGGACTAAGATTAACCTCAGCACGTAGCCTGGAACGATTCTTCCCAAACTTGTCTGCCTGTTGGAATCACCTCGGGAGCCTCAAACACTACAGATGCCCGTGTCTCACCTCCCCAGAGCGCATTTCTGGGATGAGGGCTGGGCTTTCGAATTTCTAACGGATCCCCGAATGATTCTAATGTTCACACAGGTTTAGGAGCACCTGGCATAGAGCCTGTCCTATCCTGAGCATTAAATATCTGTTAAATGAATGGAAACAACCAGCACTTGGCACACACTAGACTTTCCAGAATTCTTAGCTCCCTTCCCTTCCCTGACCATCTTCCCTCTCTTTTTCTACTGGGATGCCTGAAGATTAGTGCTGGGTTGTGATTCCAGTGGGTGTGGCTGGCCCTCGGGAGAATGCAGAAGGTTCTGGTACCATGTGCTGTGATATCCGGCGGGAGGAGGAAGAGGCAAAGACAGGTTGCACTACAAGGGGCAGCCCCCAGAGTCCTGTCAAGGGAATGGCTAACACGTTTGCTTTTGAAGACGCTGTCTGCAGTAAAGCGCTCAACGCTCACTGTTAAGTTCCCTTGGAAACCAGAGCCTAGGGGGCTGCTGCAGGAATGAGAAGGAAGCTACAGAGAATCAGTGGAGAGTTTCAGCTGGTCCTGAGTTCTCTTCGTTTTTGGCTTTTATATTCAACCGTTGTAAATCCTTTGTTTGGTGTTCCCAGGTCAGCCGTCTGAAGGTATCGAAGTTCCAGAAAGTTGAATGTGGGGCTTATTGGTTTCAGTGTCCCTTAATGGCTCTTGGAAAGAGACTCTGAATTCTGAGAGCAAGGCACCATCCAAATCATTCTAAGATAGAGAAGACAGAGATATATCTCCTCTCCTTTCCACAAAATAGGAGGACTAGGGAGCTGCAGTGTTTCAGATGTGAGGAGGGGGTCTGGCCTTTTACTCACTGTATAAGTTATGTGCTTATGGGTAAAGGTAATATTTGGGGGCTCTCAGCATCTGGAACTGAGCACCAGAACAATGTTTGATGTGCAAAGCTTAGATTATACGCTATTTATGAGTCAGAGCAAATTCTTAAATTTCACCCCAGCAACATAACAGTAAACATTTAAGATACTTAAAAAAAAAAAAAAAAATTGGCCAGTCTCAGGAATTGGCAGTGAATCTCTGCTTGACCCAAGGATCCTGATGGAGTTAGGCTGGTCTTCCTTAGGAACAAGAAAACATCACAGATTACAGCTTCAGGAGACAAGACCTCCAGCCTACTTAATTTTTAAGACATGCATTCTGAATAAGAGAAGAATCTTATTTTTATTTTTTTATCTTTTTAAAATTTTATTTATTTGAGACACAGCGAGAGAGAGAGAGAACACAAGCAGGGGGAGTGGGAGAGGGAGGCTCAATGCGGGGCTCAATCCCAGGACCCTAGGATCATGACCTGAGCCGAAGGCAGATGCTTAATGACTGAGCCACCCAGGCACCCCAAGAATCTTATTTTTAGAGTAATTTTACACTTAATAAGGATTATATAAGTACTTTGAAAGTAGCATTTTTTTTTATTTCAACTGGAAACTACTGCAGATTAAAACTCCCCAATATTGACACTTTGGAACACTGAATTGTTTATGACAATTAAGAATATGTTGTCTTCATTAATATTTAGCACTTATATGTTTTACATTTTGTATTTGGTATTGGAAATATATGAGCCTAAACCACATTTCCATCACTCTCAATTTTTTAAATTTTCTTATTTTTTAAAGATTTATTTATTTGAGAGAGAGGGAGAGTGCAAGCAGGGGGAGGGACAGAGGGAGAGGGAGAGGGAATCTTCAAGCAGACTCCCCGCTGAGTGTGGCGCCTGACGTGGGGCTTGATCTCACGACCCTGAGATCATGACCTGAACCGAAGGCAGACGCTTAACAACTGAGCCACCCAGGTGCCCCAATAAATAAATCTTTAAAAAAAATTTTTTTTAAGTCAGACACTTAACTGACTGAGCCATCCAGGTGCCCCTAATTTTCCTATTTTTTAATTGATCTAACTTATAATTCTTTATCATAGGTATACAGTTCTGCTTCAGGTTTTAAAGTAAAATAGCGTAAACCCAAGTTTGTGGCATATGTGTGCTTCTATCCTACTAGTTTTAAGTTCTTGGGGGGGGACTCTCAAAACCTTAAAACAAATTTCCTCTATTGTCTAGCACCTTTTACTGTCATGTAAATTTGTTAGAACTTCATACTGAAAACAATATTTGAATTTCATGGGGCGCCTGGGAGGCTCAGTTGGTTAAGCATCCAACTCTTGGTTTTGGCTCAGGTGGTGATCTCAGGGTCATGGGATCAAGCCCTGTGTCGTTGGGCTCCACGCTCATCAGGGAGTCTGCTGGAGATTATCTCCTTCTGCTCCTCCCTCTGCTCATGCTCTCTCTCTCTAAAATAAAGTCTTTTTTATGAAAATTTGAATTTCACATAGCAGCAAAAATAAGAGTAAGCATAGATCTTGATCAGAAAGAATTCAGGTTCGGGGCGCCTGGGTGGCTCAGATGGTTAAGCGTCTGCCTTCAGTTCAGGTCATGATCCCAGGGTCCTGGGATCGAGCTCCGCGTCGGGCTCCCTGCTCAGCGGGGAGCCTACTTTTCCCCCTCCCTCTGCTTCTCCCCTTGCTCATGTTCTCTCTCTCTCTCTCTCTGTGTGTATCTCTGTGTCTCGAACGAATAAATAAAAAATCTTAAAAAAAAAAAAGAAAGAATTCAGGTTTTAGTGAGGTCACTATCAGCATTAGATGAACGAAGCCATCAGATGGGTCCTGGACCCTGATCACCTTCAGATTTGATGGGCATCCAGGTCATACAAGGCCCTTGCTTGGAGGTCAGTTTGAGGCATTAAAAAATGAGTTCCAGAGAAATAGTTTCTGTATCTCTTTCTTGAGCTGCTCCAAAAAGGTTCAAAAACACCTAATAACCATTATTCTTCCACTAATCTCTCTCTCTCACTGGGGGTTGCAATTCCCAGTGGCCCAAAAAGTCGAATCCTCTTATCAGTTGGACTACATTTTTCTTATGATTCTCAACTGGCCAAGGCCAGTTTGATTCACGTCCTGAGCTTTGGACACAACCCTGTGAATGTGGCTTTGTTTGCCTCTGAGTCGGCAGTGAACCCAGTTTCCACCAACAGGGCTGTACAGCTCAGTCCTGCTCCACTCCCAGCGTGGATCCCCACCTTGGTCCCAGGCCTCCCAAACAGACCCGTGGGGCACAGGTTTGCCCCCTCAGCGCCTGCCATGAGTGTTGAACCCCACTTCCTCATTGGTAACAGGTTCTGAGTGACATTAGCAAAATTCCAACTCTCAGTGAGGGCATCAGTCTGAAGGCAATGCTTTCCATCTTCTCTCTCCCACAGGGTCCAGTAGCATCAACTGCATCAGCATTGTCTGTCCTCTCCCCGGGGCCTGGCCTTCTTCCACCCCCTCCTCCTCCCCCTCCCCCCGGGCCACCTCCACTCTTTGAGAATGAAGGCAAAAGAGAGGAGTCCTCCCCTTCACGCTCTGCTCTATTTGCCCAACTTAACCAAGGAGAAGGAATTACGAAAGGTGAGAAAACTGGACCTTGATGCTGTCTCCCTCTGGCTCCAGGCACACAGATACCCCAGAGTCCACAGTGTGTCATTCCATCCCCATCCCCAACACACGGGGAGCTGCTGTTGGGAAAGCAGAAGCCACAATGTTATTCATCTCGAGGCGGATGGGCTCAGTGGGCTGTTGCGTGGACCAGCAAGAAGAACTCAGAGACTCTGGGTTCTAAGTGGACCACTGCATTGCATCACCACTCCAGCACCATCTACAACCAAGGCATTCAGATTGAGTGAAATAAAATGACAAACAATTGTACCTCTGTCCTCAAGCAGTATACAGGCTTGCCAAATAATTATATCACTGAAGTACTTTTGTCCTCACCAAGAACAGTTTTTTTCTTTAAATCATGCAACATTTAAAATATATCAGGATGTACATGCGTTCTAAACAATAAGGTTGATGAAAATGCATTTGTGCTTTAGACAGGTAATAGGAGTTATTGTATAGTTGTCCTTGCGCACTGGCCTAGGAGCTAAGAGCCCCAAATTCTAAATTTTTCTCTGGCTCCAACTGGCTGGGCTGTTCCCTTATCTGCTAAGTAAGGGAATGGATTCATAACCCTAAAGTCGATTCCATACTCTGACATATACTTGCTGGGATGCCATGTCCTTGTAAGCTATGCCTGGGGAATGATTTAGCCAGGAGAAAAGAAGTAAATCATGTGATCCTTTTTGGCCAGGTGCTTTGCTTTTTGCAGAATTTTTATCCATCATCTTATCTCCTTAAAGAAGAATTTCCTCCCGCTTAAAAAATGTTTACAGTGCTTCTAATTAACACTAAATTTATAAGGTTTCAGACTCTGCCTATTATTAACCTTAAGAGATTAATTATCAAAATTTCTTGTGCTGTTTACATCACATTGATCTAAGAAGTTAGGGACATTTCCCTTTGCATAAAATACAAAGACACGTGGCTGTGTGTTGCCTTCCCAGGGCTCCGGCACGTCACAGATGACCAGAAAACATACAAGAGTCCCAGCCTGCGGGCTCAAGGAGGACAAACTCCATCTCCTACCAAAAGCTGCACTCCAGGCCCCAAGGCCCCCCAGGCCCATCCTCCTCAGAAGCATGCTCCTGTGTTCGAGTTGGAAGGAAAGAAATGGAGAATAGTGAGTGAAGCCCTTTAATCTTTATTCCCGACACACTCCAGTGAAAGGCCGTTGCTAAACCGTTGACTAAGGTCGAAGGGTTACTAAGGCTAAACCTTTTACCTAGGTCTCCTGGGTTTCTGAGTGAAGTGACAAAGGCACAAGCCACTGGCTAGAGTAGAAGCCAGGGCATTTCTGAATGCTTCCATCAACTTTTTGTTGTTGTTGTTTTTCACTTATTGCTCATGCATCATTTTCCTCAGCGTTTTAAAATTATTTTTTTTTAATTGTGGTACAATCACAGCACATAATAACATTTGCCACCTTCACATCTAAGTGTATGTAATGACCTGTGGACATGAAGTGCATTCACACTGCTGTGTGGCCATCAGCCCATCCATCCAGAGAACTTTTCCATCTTGTAAAACTGGAACCCTGTGCCCCTCAGATAACCTCTCCCCGTTCCCCCCCCACCTCAGCTCCAGCATCTACCTTTCTACTTGCTGTCTCTACTTGACCACTCTCTCCATAAACTTTTAATCTGTGCCCCGTTCTGGTTGTAGGATGTTCTCTCACACTGACAGAGGCACTAACGTAACCTGCCACACCACCCAGCACTTGCAGCCTTTGTGTGAACAAGACAAACACCCTTCAAATGTGCATGAAAGCTGGTGCCTCCTGCCAGTCCAGAGCTTCCCCAAAGGTGGCGGACCGAAGTCCCCGGAAAGGTTGTCTTGGGCTGACAGTACACGTGGACTTAAACCACCGTTGTCACCAGCCTATTTGCCCAACTCGTATTTGATGCCGCAGCGTTAAGTCCAGATCCAGCAGACAGACTTAATTAACGGAAAGCTCCCATATGCACCCACCAGCCTGGGTGCCTGATATTTGACTGTTTGCAAATGGACCCTGACCCCCTTCCAGGCAGTGGCTCCATCCAGTTCCATCATTTCAATAATAGAGGAAGACCTGGGGTTTGGTCTGTAAAAAAAGGTGGTTTGGAAAGAACATATTGAAAAGCTGTATTGAACGTTGAACCCCGTCGTAATTTCAGCCTGCGATGGACTCCACCCACCTGTACATCCTGAGATTCAGTATTTGCATGTGTTTTAATTTTAGGAGTACCAAGAGGACAGGAATGACCTGGTGATTTCAGAGACGGAACTGAAACAAGTGGCTTACATTTTCAAATGCAACAAGTCCACTCTACGGATGAAAGGAAAAATCAATTCCATTACAATCGGTACGGCAGAACTGGGGCCCTGTGGTTACTATGACCAGTTGCTTTGCATAAACATGCTATGTGTGTTTAATGGAGCTTTGCTTTGTTTTGTTTTTCCTAGACAACTGTAAGAAGTTTGGCCTCGTGTTTGACAACGTGGTAGGCATTGTGGAAGTGATCAATTCCAAGGATATTCAAATGCAAGTAAGGGGCCTTTTCTTTTTCTTTGTTTCTTTCTTTCTTTCCTTCTTTCTTCCTAAAGATTTTATTTATTTACTTGCAAGCGAGTTGGGGGAGGGGCAGGGAGCGAGAATCTTAAGCAGACTCTCTGCTAAGCATGAGCCCAACGCGGGGCTTTCTCATGACCCTGAGATCACAACCTGAGCCGAAACCAAGAGTCAGACACTCAACCGACTGAGCCACCCAGGCACCCCCATATAAGTGGCCTTTTCAGCCATGCCCTCTGCCCACTTTGCAGCTTTTCTCGGACCACCCAGCTGCCTGCACGGGGCCGGCCATGTTCACCTGGAGAACTGCTCTTCCCTTTCCTTCAGACACAGCTCTGTCATCACTCCTCTCTTGGATGGTGTTAATTCTTCCTTTTCAATCTCTTATAACACATCCTATCTGGCACTGCAATCGCCGTTTACCATGCGTGTTTCAGGGGCACATAATTAGTCTTTACAGCCCCAGAAACTGGCACAGCACCTACACGCAGTCGGTCTCCAATAAATGTTTGGTGAGGTGGTGATTGGGAGGCATCAACTAATGAATGAACACAGATACTAAGAGATTCTCCCAACCTAACAGCACCATCCCGAAGAAAATTTTCTTTGTTCAGGGAGCATTGGTTCTGAGTAAGGAGGAGGAAGAGTTTCTGAAGTCAGTGAGATAATCAGACCAACAACCTGGAAAGTAGGATTGGAATTGAATTTGCAAACTAGGAAAAAACATGCACTCTTTTAGTTAATTTTGATTTAACCCAATTGGATTTTACAATATGCCAAAAGCTAAAGGACCTCCTGCCTTTGGCCAGTTACAACTTCCACCTTTGATTACACTCTCTTCATATTGTTGTTTTGTTGTTGTTGTTGTTGTTTTAAGATTTCTTCTAAGTAATCTCTATACCCAATGTGGGACTCAAACTCACAACCCCAAGATCCAGAGTCACATGCTCTACCCACTGAGTCAGCCAGGCACTCCTCTCTTCATATTTTTAATTAACCCCTTATGATCCCATGTTTCCTGATAATGTTTAACATTGGATTCTGGTGGGGTTTTTTTTTTTAAAGATTTTATTTATTTATTTGACAGAGAGATAGCACAAGTAGGCAGAGTGGCAGGCAGAGGGAGAGGGAGAATCAGGCTTCCCGTGGAGCAGGGAGCCGGATGTGGGGGCTCGATCCCAGGACCCTGGGATCATGACCTGAGCCGAAGGCAGCTGCTTAACCGACTGAGTCACCCAGGCACCCCTGGATTCTGGTTTTATAGATCTTTCTCTCCTGTTTTACTGGGCTTTTTCCTGCCGTCACTTTTAATTAGAGTACATCCAAATGGACATTTTACATTTCACTCACTGCTATTTAAGACATTGGTTTTGTGTGTGTCCGGTTAACATGAAGAGCCCTGCACTGGGCACCCAAGCCCTGGGCACGAGCCCCGGCTCGGTCCTCAACCACTGCACACACTTGGGCGGTTGGCTTCACCTCTGACTCTGAGGTCCCTGCCCTGAAACCAAGGTTAGCTGGGGGGATTCTAAGTCCTCCACAGTCCAGATTCCAAATATTCTTGCCACATAGGCTCTGTGGGTACGTGTATCTCTTCCACGTTCCAGTTTCGTATTTTCTCTGCAGTGCATCTGTGTAAATCCCTTTCCCCTGAACCATTCTGCCACTGCTTCACAAATTCCATTCCTGGATAGAGAACCACATTAAGAGAGAGCAGCCAAGCAACTCCTCCCAGGCAGTTACTATATTGTTGTCTTCACCATGTAAACGGGAAACACGACCAGCCTCGGATCTTACTTTAGGTTCTAAAATGTGAGTCATAGCATAGAGCACGCACTCGATCATTCCTTTGCCAGATGTTTACTGAACACATCTGATATGCCGGGTACTGTTCCCAGCTCTGCAAATATCAGTAAGCAAATGAGACAAAAATCCTTGCCCTCATGAAGCTTGTATTCTGTAATACCACTGCCCAATTTAGTGTTTCTGACAGCCACATTTCTCCATTTATTGAATAATGTTGCCTCTCCCAGAGTATTATGAGTGAAAATTTTAAGGAAGTCACTCATCATCAGAAGTCCAATTCCTCAAGGAGAAATATGGCTCATATAAACCTAATAATGAGGCCACAATTTCTGAAGAACTCTTTTGGTTAGTGGAAGTTCCTACTTAAAGATCCAGGCTTTCTCCCTCTTCACATTATTTTTAACCAACCCCCCCGCCCAAAGTTACAGAAATAATATACTATGACTGAGGTGAGAACACATATTTAGCCAGGTGAAAAATATCCTGGAAATAATCTAATCTAATACACCCCCTCTTAATGTTAGAGAGTTTATTCCAAGCTTCCTTTTATTCTTACAGAAATGGGATTGGGTAGCACTGATGAAACCATCTATAAGGAGTTTGCATTTTTTTAAAGATTTATTTATTTATTTGAAAGAGTGAGGGAGAGAATGAGTGCATGCAGGAGCAGGGGGAGGGGCAGAGAGAGAAGGAAGGAGAAAATCTCAAGCAGACTCCCTGCTGAGCTCGGAGCCCAATGGCTTGATCTCAAGACCCTGAGTTCATGACCTGAGCTGAAATCAAGAGCTGGATGTTTAACCGACTGAGCCCCCCAGGTGCCCCAGGAGTTAGCACTTTTCAGTGAAAATACATCATGTTCAAAATTAAAAACCAATTGAATTAAGTATAAAACATGAAGCTATAGAAAAGCAGAAGAAAACAGTTTTAAATATTCATCAAATTTCTGGAGGGAGACATAATTCTAAATTGAGAATTAATAGAAATTATCCAAAAAGATATGTCTACTTAAAAATTTTAAACTTCTGAATTCTACACAGAAATAGTTACCATGTAACCATTTTTAAAAGTGATTTAGAAAGAGGGGCACCTGGGTGGCTCAGTTGGTTAAGCGTCCAACTCTTGGTTTGGGCTCAGGTCACGATCTTCGGGTCGTGAGATTAAGCTCCGCATCGGTGTCAGGCTCCACGCTGGGTGTGGAGCCTGCTTAAGATTCTCCCTCTCCCTCCACCCCTCCCACCCCTCACTTGCACATTCTCTCTCTAAAAAAGAAATAAATAAAATAGTTTTATGTATAAAAATGACTGTAGTTATATGAATAAAAATAGGTAGATCTCAGAAGGAGCATTGAGCAACGAAGACAAATGACAGAATGGCAGGCATTAGAAAATGTGTCCCTTTATATAAAGATTGAAAACATGCAAAACAATACACACGTTAAGTATACTTGTGAGGACTTGAAACTAATACCGCACTCTATGTTAACTAACTGCGATTTAAATAAAAACTTAAAAAGAAGGAAATACACTTATGAGGGCTCCAGGTCACCCGACTCAGGGATAGTCCTGGTGTGAATGGTCAGCACAAAATTCAGAAGAGTGGTTGCATCCAGGGAGGGAGAAGAGAGTGAATGAGCTGCTGGATGGTACAGAGAGGACTTCAACTATGCTGTAAAATTATAGTCCTAAAAAAAAAACGGGCCACTAAGCCAAAATGTTAAACTCTGATAAAGCTGTTTGACATATATATGTTTACATATTTGTTGTATTTTCTGTGTTTCTATGTTTGAAATACATCCTAATTTTTTTAAGGATATGGCATGCGTTCTAAAAATAATTTGGAAGGATATACCGTGGTTATCTGTCCAAGAGGGATAGAAACTTGACAGCAGGGTTCAGAGATGAGACCTTTTATTGAATACTTTTCAAGCTTTTGGATGTTCAAACCAAGTGAATGTCATAACCTATTTAAAATATTTAATACAGGGCGCCTGGGTGGCTCAGATGGTTAGGCGTCTGCCTTCGGCTCAGGTCATGATCCCAGGGTCCTGGGATCGAGTCCCGCATCGGGCTCCCTGCTCCTTGGGAGCCTGCTTCTCCCTCTGCTTCTCTCTCTCTCTCTCTCCCTCTCTCTCTCCGTCTCTCATGAATAAATAAATAAAATCTAAAAAAAAAAATATATAAAATATTTAATACATTGTTTCAAAAGGGCCTGCACACAACAGAAATCAGTGGTTCCCCCAGGGGTGAGGACAGGTATTGGCTATAAGTGGGCACTAGGGATATCTGGGGAGTGATGGAAATATTCTAGAACTGAAGTGATAGCTGCACAGTTCTGTAAAGCTACTAAATATCATTAAATTGTGCACTCAGAACAAGTGAATTTCAGGGGCGCCTGGGTGGCTCAGTTGGTTAAGCGTCTGCCTTCGGCTCAGGTCATGATCCCAGGGGCCTGGGATGGAGCCCCTCCTCATGGTCAGGCTCCCTGCTCAGCGGGGAGTCTGCTTCCGCCTCTGCCTCTCCCCCTACCCCCTCGCCCTGCCCCCTGCTCCTATTTGCTTGCGTGCTCTCTCAAATAAATAAAATCTTTAAGGAAAAAAAGGTGAATTTTATGTTTGCAGATTTTACCTCAATTACTTAAAAAAAAAGATTGAAAGGAAAAAAGGGGCATGCACCAAAGTTCATATTATTTGGGCCAGTAATTCTGTTTTTGACAAACTACCCTCAAAAAAGAGTACGTACACATTATGAGGGAGAGAAGAGACCTAAATATAACATGGAAATTTTTTAAATTGTTATAGAGAAATAGGGGCGCCTGTCTGGCTGTCAGTGGAGTGTGCGACTCTTGATCTCGGGGTTGTGGGTTCGAGACCCACACTGGGTGTAGAGATTACTTAAAAATAAAATCTCTTAAAAAAATTTTTCTAAAAGATTTATTTATTTGACACACACAGAGAGAGAGCACAAGCAGGGGGAGCTGCAGAGGGAGAGGGAGAAGCAAGCTCCCCACTGAGCAGGGAGCCCAGGACCCTGGGATCATGACCTGAGCCAAGAAGGCAGACAGTTAACTGACTGAGCCACCCAGGCGCCCCTAAAAAAACTTTTAGAGAAACAAATTTATGAAAAACCTAACTAATCCAGAAATGTATTAAATGCTAGAGCACTGGCTTGGGCAAGGTCACACATCACCTGTCACTCAGTAGAGGAGATACTCTTTGGCCCAGTTCTCTTGATAAGAAACCATCTCTGTTCTCAACGCAGTCCCAGACCACCAGGGGAAAAGAGCGTGTAGACAATCGAGCCTAATGTAGCGTTGACCAAAACGCTGTGGAAAAGGACCCATTCTTAACACATCAGGGTAATGTTTTAAGGTCTACTGTTGTTTATTCAGACTTTCAGATATGTGGGGTATTGAAGCGTTTTTAATATAACAGCAATATATAAATATAAGTAAACTATTAGCGTCATGCGCTTGCCTCATGTGTGCCCATTCTGCCTCACAAACAAATCACCAAGGATCCACTGACAGTTTACCCTTTCTCCTGTCTTGCCTCACTCCCTGTACCGTGCTCGGCAGCACGTAGATGTTCTTCATCACTCTAAGATAAACAAATCTAGAAATTACCAAAACATTACTGCTGACACATTCTTGAAATATAGATATATGTATTATTACTATTGTAGGGTATTTATGGCAAAGCCCTGTGCTTACCTGACCTTGAACTACTTATGTTTTGTTTTTTTTTTTTTTGGCACTGGGGCTCATTTCTAACTCAGTGTCCAGTTTCTATGGAGAGAGGAGAAAACAGAGAAGTGTAGTGACCTGGCTAGACTCCCCCTAAGGAATTCTTTACATCGTCTGCACCATCAAAGGGAGTTGCCCCTTGGGTTTGCAATCCAACCTTTTCTTCAGGGTGAAAGAGGAGATGTCTTTATCACTTCAATTACCATCACAAGAATGAAAATCATACAGTTGTAATATGGTCATTGGGGGAACAGTCTGCCCCTATAGAGATTTGGGGGCTAGGGGGAATGTCTGAAACCTGTTAAAAGAGAAATTTGAAACTGAGCAGAATTTTTATAGCACTTAGATATTTGTAAACAATATAAAGAATCACCTCCTCTTGTGTATGGTCCTATTCATGCAGTGAGTAGCCTGAACCAAGTCCCCACTCTTGGCTCCTGGAATTAATACATTTCAAAATACCTAGACACTCATTGTCTTACTCAAGCTTCCCATTCAGCCAGTGAGATTGTTATCTAGCAAAAGATATATGTGAAAAGAATTGTAGTGTTTCTTATTTAGGTGCAAGAAAAAAATCTACTCAATTACAGAATAATGTATTTACTCTGAAATGACAATATTAGCATTTGTTTTAACCCAAGATTCACAGACTTGTCAGAACTAAAGTTTTAAGCAAATAAAAGCAAATGCGTCTTGTTACTTTTATCCGTGAAATCAAATCTATGTTTCAAATCCACTAGAGGGTTGTGAGACTTTTTCTGAACACTTAGCTGCTGTTTTCACATTAATCCCTTTATTTGGTCTCAGGAAAAGAGACCCTGAGGCTTGAGAATCCCTTTGTGTGGTCCTTTCATTCTGTCCCCAAATGACACCCACCGGTTCAGCCTGCAGACGTTGCTGCTAACCAGCCTGACCCAGCTCTTCCTAAAGCTTGGGGAAGCCCATGGATGGTGCTTTATTCGAGGACATCGTCATTTTTATTTATGTGGGTGCCAGGCTGTACTTTTGTCTATTTCAGGTAATGGGGAAAGTGCCAACAATTTCCATTAATAAGACAGAAGGCTGTCACATATACCTCAGTGAAGATGCGCTGGACTGTGAGATTGTGAGTGCCAAATCATCTGAAATGAATGTCCTTATTCCTCAGGATGGTGATTATGTAAGTACCTTTTAAAAGCTGGTAAAGAATTTTTCTTGAGCCTGCCTTCGTAACATTCGACGAGACTGATTCATTAACTCCCGACCTAGGAGCTTCGTTTGCGGAATTCACAGGCAGGAGAGGAATTCAGAGAGTTGCCTTGCACCTTGCTCCTCCTCTATTGGTTTCTTGGCTGTGCGCATTCCTCGAAGGGTGATTCTCTGGGCCGTTTACTAATAATTTACCTTCAGGGGCTAGCTTTTATCAAACAGTGCCTCACGCATCTGAGTTCATGGTATTTAGGGCTAAATATTGTCCTTTGCTATAGTGGAGGCAAACAGAAAGGAGGAAGAAATGCTTTGGGGGGAAAAGTGGGAGGCAGTGGGGGTGATGCTAAGTGGACCTGTTTCTGTAGGTATACTTCCGTCAGGGGTTCTCAATGGACCTGTTTCTGTAGGTATACTTCCGTCAGGGGTTCTCAAACTCAGCAGGAGGATCAGCCCAGAAGCTCCAGGAAAATGCCAGCTCCCAGAGTCTGCACCTGGAGGTTGGATTCGGGAGGCTTTGGGCGGGGTCCGGGAAATCTGTATTTTAATAGGCATCTCGGGTGATGCCGATGCTGTCAGCTCATCCAGCCCTTCCGAGACACCCAAAGTGATTCGGCCACCATTTGTTTTCTATGCCTCCTCTCCCCCAACAAAGCAGCTTTTTTTTTTTTTTAAGATTTTATTTATTTGACACAGACAGCAGGAGAGGGAACACAAGCAGGGGGAGTGGCAGAGGGAGAAGCAGGCTTCCCGCTGAGCAGGGAGCCCGATGCGGGGCTCTATCCCAGGACCCTGGGATCGTGACCTGAGCCGAAGGCAGACGCATAACGGCTGAGCCACTCAGGCATCCCAACAAAGCAGCTTCTAAGAGAAGCATGCAGGTATCCTCACATGTTGCAAAGGAAGTCCAAATGAATACATTTTCTGCATCGCGCGCTGTGGCGGACTTGCAGCTGTGGTGGACTTGCAGCTGTGGCTCTTTGGAAGCAACTTGCTGCTTCCTACTCGTTGTCGCTTCTTGGAAGTACAGATAAATCCAGAGATGATTCCCTCTGATTCTAACTGTGCAAGGGGGCAGTGAACCAGGGAAGGATGGGAGAAGTAACCTCGAAGGCGCCCCATCAGCCTGTGGGCCAGTCACCAGCCCCGTCCTCAGGCAGACAGCAACCGTGCTTGAATGTTCTCTCGCCTGTCAGTAAATTCTTCAGCACCGCCCAGCCACGTGCTACAGAACGTAGCCTAGAATCCTTCATGTAAGGCTGAAAAACAAAAGTCTGCCAGCACCGGACTGCTAGCTTTTTGGCTAGCTAACCCCGAGCTTGAGAAGAGCCCTCTCGCGTTCTCTACCTAAAGCAAATGAGGAGCTAAAGCTGATACAGAACAGCTTCCAGCCGGAGAGCCAAAAATGAGGGGGGTCCCTGGCCTTTGCAACTGGTCCAGCAGAAGGCTCAGCTGCAGGGGAGCTGGATCAGCTGAGAAAAGCAGTGGGTCTGGATCAGCGTTCCAGACTAATTCAGCTAGCATCCCTGGGCGTGGTCCCAGGCATCTGTACTTGTCAAAGCTTCTCAGGTGATTCCACTGTGGAGCCAAGCTTGAGATCCACTGACCGAAGGCGTGAGTATAGGTCAGAACCTGAGATTTTGTGCTGAAGAAGGAGCCTTCCCCCTATTGACAGGTTATCTTGTGCCCTCATTCCATGGTCCTCTTAGTACATTTTCTAGTGAGAGGTAGTAGGGAGCAGGCAAAGGTCCCACCAAGGACACTGTAATCTGGGAATGGATGGTGGGGATGATTCATCCTGAAGGAAGTCCGTTACCCAGAGAAGAATGTCATCATATGACTATCACTTTACTCCCCCCAAAAAGGATGTGGAACAGCTATGTAGAGTACGGTTAACTGTCAAAGACATACCTTCACTCTGGAGCATTCTCTACCTGGCCTGGTACTTGAGAGCAAGCACCAAGCCTTGTTTACTTCCAGAAGAGGCAGGTGGATCCCACATCTAAGAAGATATGTACTCGTGTGTGGGGTCCACTGAAAGATGGTATCTCATTGATGGAGGAGCGGAGGCACCGGCTTATCAGACACGTGGCGTTCCAGCCGTGCTGTGTGCACACAATGTCCCGGGAGGGCACAGAAGCCAGGGCCAAAGCGGACTGCCTCTCCCCTTCCTTGTCAAGCCTTTTCTGAAATGACTGCAGAATCACTTTCTGGGGAAAAGGAGAGATTCCAAACTACTTTTATTTTGGCTCCATCCCCCTGCCCTCCCCCCCCCACCGACAACCCCCTCCCTCTCTCTCCCTATATGGTGCACGCGTGTGTATTTCACAATGGGAGGAGTAGGTGACAGGATGCAAGTTAACACATTGATATATGACCCAAAGCACATCTTCGTAGCTCATTGAAGAGTATACAGAGAACGCCGGGGATAAAGCCTTTCTACTCGGTGTGACTAGGGATCCGCAACCTCAGTGTCTCCTCGGAACTTGTTGGAAATGCAGATCGTCATTCTCTTCCCCAGATCTACGGAATCAGAACCTGCATTTTAACAGGCTCCCCGGGTGATCCTGTGCAGGTTTGCGTGTGGCGGAGAGTGGGTAGAGAGGCTGTCTGGCTTGAAGTCTGGCTGCCCTGCTTACAGCAATACCATCTTCAGCCATCTGTTCAACCTCTCAGACCTGCGTCCTGTAGATGGCATCTCAAGAACACCCAGCTCCTAGGGCTGTAGACTAACGTAGTCCACATATATCTAGTACTTAGAAGACTGCCTGGTTCTTAGCAGGTTCTAGTTTTAATGATGATGCTAGCAGATAGTTACAGAACCTACGCACAATCATGCAAGTCCCCACAGGACCCAGAAGACCTCTCCACAACACAGGTTTGGGTTCCATAAAATGTCTTTCTCTACCATGACACTGATCAGCCTTCCGTCTGTTTAAGTAACTCTTCTTCTGCATTTTTCCAGAGAGAATTTCCTGTTCCAGAACAGTTCAAGACAGCCTGGGATGGATCCAAGTTGGTCACTGAACCTGCAGAAATTATGGGCTAACCTCCAGAGAGACCAAACCCCCTGACCTGAATCCATCAAAAAAAAAAAAAAAAAAGCAGCATTAAACACCTAGAAGTGGCAGTAACACGTACGGCTTTAGTTTTGACCTCCAACAATTCTGTGTTCTAGAAACAGCATCATTTCTGGCATGCCTTCGTGGGCATTTTGAAGTATTTAACATGTCTTCATGATTTGCCTTTGTGTGTGATTTGAGTTCCACATGATGACTTGTGAGCATTACACATTTAAAGGGGGGTAAAAATAGTATTCTGTCCTCCTAATATCATTAACATGGTAGCTGATAGGTAAAAATACTGCATGATTCAATTTGACACTTATGTTTAATTGCTAGTTGGAAAATAAAACCTCTGAGAATCTAAGATGTACATTTTTACCTTTAGGCAATTTCTATGTGATGTAGTAGTAGTTATGCTCTGAAAAATCTAACATTTTTTTTTCTCATTTTTACCAAATGTTCACATTTATCAGCACGGATACATTGTCAGCATGAATACATATTTCAACCCATTTTTTACAAAACATAAGAAAATTCCATCCTAAGGACGATATCCAGTTACTTGGTCCTTAGAAGACTTGTATTCTTTACAGTTACTAAAAACTACAAGTAGATTCTAATGATTTATCTTAAAACATTCTTCTGCCATATCACATGGAAAACTTTTACTTCTCTACAGAAAGATTTTTATGCCAAAAGATTGGTGGGAGGAAGCAGATGTATGTAGTACCTCGCAATTTTGCTCAAAGATCAAGCTCAAGTTTTTGTTTCCCAATTTTGAACCTGCTGAATATCAGACGCCTTGTAAATTATGTCATTAATGTTGTATTATAGACTTTTCTTTCTCACTTGCCAGACTTCTAAGCAGTTTCCCAAAAAAAATGAACGTTAAAAAGCCATAGCTGTAATACTTCTTCCAAAACCTGAAGAATTGTTTGTTGGTTTGACTTGCTGCTCCTATTTTGTAGTATTGAAGAGTACATGCTTTTTCAACGTAAGAGAAACTATGATATTCCTTTGTATCTTTTCAGTACATAGTGCTGAAAAATCTGCAACTTCTTGGATCACATATACTGAATTCTAGTATAATGCTTGCAGACCCAATACAAGCATATATATTGTGCCTACTATAGCCTTTGGAATACGTCATTTCCGTTTTTTAAATACCTTCTATATCCATATAGTATTCAAATTACTAATGCTTATGTACCAAGGTTTTGCTATAAAAGTTTTGTTCATATGAATAATGTGGCTTTAGTAATATCTTTTTTTTTCAACTGTAAACTTATTCTGAAATAAAGAATTATTTCAATTAGAATTTTAATTGTTTAAATACTGGTTGTTAAAATTATTTTTTTTCTGCTTTGATTTGCCCCTTGATCATATATCAGATATGTTACATTCAGGAAAGACAGCTGAGTCCTCTTGGTTAGTTTGGAGAATGTATCCAGCATGCCATCAGCTTCCCCGAAGAATAGCTTCTTCAAGACAGATATCAGATAAAGCCATTTGCAGTTGGTATGACTGTCAGAAAATTCTAGAATTCAGTTGCATAATTCAAGTCCTCTTCACTGAGAAAACCACCTCATAGATCTTCATTAATGTAAATATCCCAGAAAATAAATTTAGTTGTTAATAGGATACAATCATACATACACTATGTATTTACATGTATAATATAAATAAAAATAACTTTTATAATAAATTTGTAAATAAACTTCTGGAAGAAAAAATTGTTAAGTGGGAAGAAAAGACTCTAAAAAGGACATACTACATACCCATTAAATAGTAATAATTTTATATTGAAAAAGTTCACTCAAAATTCTTAGACTCTGTCGACTGGCCTTGGGCTTGCACCAGATTTTCAAAATGCTTCACCGCAGATATTGAAAATCTGGACTTGTTCAATTATTTTATCAGCCCTGGGGCCTTAAGTCACCTACTGGTTTTATGAATTTGTTGAAAAAGTGGGGGAAAAACCCAACTTTGGCAATGTATAGGGAAATGAGTACCCAGACAATGCTGCATTTGCAATATGTTGTCCTTCTTGCACATTATGAAATTCCAAAGTTACCAATGCTATGACCTAAAAAATATTGTCAAAGGGGTAAGAAATCCATATGAGCAGAATTGCATGTCATATACATTCACTAAAAATCAAAACAAAACTAAGTGTCAGAACACTGAGTGCCAAGGGTCTCCTGTATCTCTCTGCTTTGCAGTCTTACAAAGTATCACTTTGTAGGATCAAATGATAAAATAATCCAGAATCTGTTGTTTTGAAAACCCTTTCCTTGATAATACAGCTTCCACTAAATAATCTGTTACTGATAGTTTTCCTTTGACAACAAGATGTCTTAAAGTGAAGGATGTGTACTAACCACTTTTCTACAGAAATTCTTTCTAGAACTGATAGGAAATATATACAGTTTTATTCATTTATTTTTTCGTTCATTGAAAATGTTTACTTCAACTTCTTAAAGTCTACATGAGTTTATCTAAAGAATCCCTTCATTTTAAAGACAGAGCCGAAGTCTAGTGATTTAGCAACTTGCATAAAGCAACCAATTAGAGGTAAAGCAAGGACTAGAACACACACACACACACACACACACCACCCCTTTTTATAACTACTATAATTGTAGTATAATGTTTCTGAAACTCTCAAAGGACATAAATCCAGTGGCTTTCTGTCATTCCTCATCCACTGAGATTGTGGACACTGCTGTTTCCCTGTTAAACTCCATTTGATCTTGTGATGCACAGTAAACTTCTCTGGCTCTTCTCCCTTCTTTTTCTCCCCCTGTCAAATGCTCATTCGTCTCCCTTAACTTCATCTATCACTCTTATGTAGATGACTGCCAGATCCACATCCCCAGCCTGAATCCATCTCCCCGGAGTCTTAACTCCCACTTGCCCAGAGAGTATTTCTACCTGCCTGTCCCAGTTGCATTCCACATATCAAAAATGAATACACATTTGCCATACATATCCGTATTTTCCTCATCTGCCTTTCTAGCTGCAGTCAATTGTCATCATAGATCTACAACCAGACATTTCCCTTGATGGGAACTGCTGAAAGAGAACCAGATCTGGAAGGAACCATGGTTTAGTCTTAAACATGTTTAATTCAGGATATCTTTGTGACATTTAGTTGGAAATGAAGAGTACACAGTTGGATATGGGTCTTTTCCATTGCCTCTGACATGAAATCTTTAGGAAGCATTTCTAAGTTTCATATTCCAAGAATGACTTTCATTAAACATGTTCATTTCAAAACAATTATTTTTAAACCATTGGCACTTTCTGTACCATTTCAGATACAGATACAACTTAAGGACTTTAATTGTTTCAACTGAGACATGTTGATTTCATAGCATTCACAGACTTCTTTGGCTAGTTTGGCCACTGCAATGTTTCTGTATATGATGCAGCTTATATCTGTGCTTCAAGTGAAAAGTAACGCAGCTCAAATTAACCAGTGATAATCCATCCAGATTTCTCCAAATGGTTTTAGTTCTTCTACTGTTTGTTTAGTGCCTTGGCAGAGAATATGCAACTAACAATGGGTAGCATTTGCCTATCAGTGGAGAATTACTTTCATGTTTCCCTCTAGTACAATCTATCACTTTATATTTAAAAAATGATTTTTGCCCAGGGGCGTCTGGGAAGCTCAGTCAGTTGAGCATCCTACTCTTGGTTTCAGCTCAGGTCATGATCACGCGGTGGTGGGACTGAGCCCCACGTTGGGCTCTGCGTTCAGTGCTGGAGTCGGCTTTGGATGCTCTCTCCCTCTCGCTCCCCATTTGCCAATATCGCAAAGATTTTTTTCATTCAAATTCAGTTAATTTCCCATGCTATCAATAATTCAACTTGGAAACGCATCAGAAGGTGTGCATTTAAAAGGTATTTTTTGTTATTTTTTAACAACAATAACTGTATGGCCTCATTTCTTCAACTCCTAAGTCAATAAACTTATCACGGAAAGCCTTCCCATGAATGTAACAGTTTTGCAGATTTATTTGGGAAAGTGAGATTTGTTTGGGAACTTTTTTTTCCCCGTGCTCATTGTCCCTGTGGGGTATAGTCATGTTTATACATAATGAATGGTACACACCTCCCAGCAGGGTTGAGCCAATGACACATGTCCCCCAGCAGCCTGCCCTGCAGGGAGCCAATATTATGACACCCCCTGCTTCAGGCATTCTTCTTCAGTTTAAAAGCCATGGAGGAAAAATCCCAGTTACGCAGGTGCAGCCTGCTAGTTCCGGGGAAGTGACTGCCTTCTGCAATCAAGTACGATAAAATCTATGATCCTTTATGGACATTTAGAGACACAGTCCTGTAGCATTACTGAAAGACATACAGAGATCTACAGAAATATTTTATAAGAGCCATGTATATGTATTTTCAGGAAAAGGACCTAAATTTATGGCAATATGGTATTTATAGGAGTTGTAAGTTACATGTATTCTCCATATCCTAGGATAGAGAAAAGTTGGATGGAATAACCAGGAATTTTCCTCCACTATTACGGACCTTACTTCTTTAGCTCTGACTGCAATGATAAATTGAAACAGAAATTTTATATTTATCAAATTGAAGCAAAGCACAATTAATTGTATAAGTCTATTGAAAAAAACTGTATTTAAAAACCTGTTATCCAAATTATCTGTCCACATTCACTAAATAAGTGGTCAAAACTTCCCTATATATATTCAATCACTGCTGATATGCCAGTATCTGAAGAAGAAACAGGAATATTTTAATGTAAGCCCATTCAGTGGATGGGGAATTGAGGGAGTGATGTCCCATCATTAGCAACGAAAATCTAGTTCTCTAGAGAGTCATCAAAATGTTCTCTCATTTGTTAGCATCTAAAATAACTACACCAGCAATATGGTCTACATTCTGCATGCTGCTTCCACCAAATGGCTATACAACTATTTTATCAAATTAAATTAATTCCATATTCTAGACTTTTCAGAAATAAGTCTCTCTTCAACATCTCACCAGACAGGCATATTTCCAATAGGGCT